TTTCTAAGATAATGACAGTGATCCTTTAGAAGCTGTAAATTCGTATTCCACCACTTATTACTAATATTATTTTTTGTTGTCATATTATTATTTACTTTAAGTGAATTATGTGCTGCCTCAATCAGTATGTTCGTAAGTTCTTTTACCGTTTGATCAATCATTTCTGGTGTATCCACTATGTCTAGTAAGTTTTCAATTTTTTTCTTGTTCAGTACTGTTAATTCTCTGACTAAAACTTAACCAGTTCGCATTTTTCTCATTAAATTTCCAAGTGGAATAATATTTTTCTGAACTAAATTGTTCGTTTGTAAATATTTCAAAAGATATAGCTACATGATCTGAAATTTGCGATATCTGCTGTGTCTTCCAATTTCTGATCGCCGCAATTGCCTGTTTATTTGTTAGTGTGAGATCAATCACACTTGCATCACGACACGTGAAAGTTTTATTATTATGGATAGTTAAGTTTATTTCATCTATGATAGGTATCAGTCTATGTCCATTATAATTTTTCCTGATATCATACCATAACGGAGCTCTGGCGTTGAAATCGCCGCAAATTATCACCGGTATATGTAAATTTGTATTAATTAACTTCTTCATAAATTCCTCGTGCTCACTTTTCATTGAATTCGGATGTATATAAATGTTGGAAAGATATATTTTCTTACTTTTTGTTTGTATGGTTATAGTTGTAGCGAATGAGTTAGTGAATTCTGTACTTAATAGAATTTTTAGGCTGCTATTTCTTACAATTATTGCCGTATTTATATTGGGACTGTTCATCAATTGATATTTTGTACAAGGTCCTGGAAATATTACCTCCTCTTTGATTATATAAGGTTCTTGAATCATTACTATATCTGCATTTCTAATTTCATCAGATGCACAAAGCTCATTTATGCAATTTTTGCTTTTTCTGGTATTTTGTTGAATAATTTTTATTTTGTCAATATATAGTTTTCGCCCCATCATTCTGGAAGTTTATTATTGGCCCGCATCTTCTATAAGTGTAGAATAGTCTGTTCTTTGTATTATGATTTGCATCTCTTTTTTATAGATTGGGCAGTCTTGACTATTCGGTTTATGCTCCAAATCTCGATTTCTAAAATGTGGATGTTTGACGCAGTTGCAGCATTTAACTGTAGTCGAGCATTCGTGTTCTCCCTCCTTTTCACATTTAATACATTTTTTAGGATTGGGACAGTTATTCCTCTTATGATTAGGATTAAATAAAAAGCAGTTCTGACATTGGTTCACTAATATTTTATCTTTAATATCGCATCGTTGAATATCCGTGTAAATTTTTCCATTTCTCTTCATAATTTGGTAGACTCTAGGTGAAACCCTCAGTACTACATCTTGCTCTGGTCTATTGGTTTTCATTGGAAATAGCACTTTGATCTCTTCACTGAGTTGAGAAAGTTCAGGGTTCATCTCACATAACGTTGTCGATAAATTAGCTAAGTTTGTCATCTTGTTGACTGATTTTATGACTATGTTTGGATCTCTTAGTTTTGGCTTGTATATTTTACTGCACTGGTTTAGATCATCTTGCTTAGTAAAACTTTCTATCATTCGATCTATATCTTGATCTTTAGGCAATTTTATTACTGTACCTTTCCTAGTATTAAATACCTTGTTAATCCTAATTTTATTTCCCTCCTGTCGTAAATATTTTATACTATCATTCACCTTTTGTTGTACCTGTGAAATGTTTTGATTTTCATTGGCAGTTATTATGATAGTTTGTTCCTCAGGAATTTGCTTTTCTTTTTGAATAAATTTATCTTCCCCATATTTTAACACCTCTGCATACGAGTCCTTGTTTCTGCTTTGTTTTACTATTTGGGATAAATCGTTTCTAATGTCGGTATAATTTTTCTGCATACATTCCCCAATTCCATTTAAACTCTGTTCTAGTTTCACTAATTCTATTACACTATCCTTTAGCTGTTTTGTTGTACTTTTAACATATCCAATATCTTGTTTATTCAACGTTTTTTGATTGTTATCAAATTTGTCTACAAAATATTTACATAATTCATCCAGCCTGTCTAATATTAATGCATTCATTGTTTTGCATATCTATTGACAGCGTAAAATTTTAATGAATTATTAGCGTTATTTAAAGTATTTAATTCAATCCAAAAGATTTAGCAATATTAATATATAATTTCAACTGGGTATAAATATAAACTGGGTTTAAAATATTTCAAAATATATAATATAACAAAAGTTAAATCAAATTTAAAGTATATTTACCGGAAAATTAGGAGCGATGCAATACACGTCCACTCAGTCTGGCCGCAATGGCTACAATCATGATGATACGATGATTTTGTAATGTAGAAAATTAGGAAAGACAAAATTCAGGATGACACGGCAATTTATTTGAGACAAGAATAATGATACAATTCCAAGGCAAGATACTATTCCTTTAACTTCCAATTACCGAGGAAACCAATTAATATTGATTTTATTCAACTTATCGAGTATTTTTCAAGGGACCGGGAAAAAAAATGCTCACTTTATCGAGAGATTCGTTAGACAAACCTTTACTCGGGTAAAACCCGGGCGAAGCCGGGTACGTCCGCTAGTATGAGATAAATTTGTTATGTAACAGGAATATGGACTATTGTTTATAAGATGTCGGATAGCTCCTCCCTGTGGAGGATCTGACCCACAGCTGGAGAACCTTGTTACTTCTGACGTGGTTCTGTCGAGGATTCTCTCGGGAGTCCCCAGCAGTACCAGGCTCTGTGGGTGACGGGTTCTGCTGAGGTGTGAGTAGACCCACTGCGAGTATTGGTATAAAAAGACAAAACCGACTAAATGATCACAGCCCAGTTAGCTAACTTCCATTAACACTTGTTATTTAATTCTATTGGAATTAGGACAAAATGTTATATTCACTTTATTAGAATGAGCTAAAATTACTAAATTAAGATCAAAATTTAGCGTTCCTCAGAAAGTCGTATTGCCCACCCTTCACTGCACCATATGTTTATAGGAACATTTCCTTTTTGGATCCCGCGTGCACGCCAAGTCGACAATTTTAAAGGAAGCTGGGAGAGATAATTGAAATATGAAAATCAAAAGAAGTAATCGATCTTCTACGCCATTTCAAGGCGTGCAAAAACCAACAACAACCGGTGGCCGAGCAAACAGCGAGGTGTTATCCGGGCCAGAGATTTGCATGAGAATGGTGCGACTTCCGTTTAATTAGTCCCCACACTGCCGGGGTGATGGAGTGCCAACCCTGGGGCGAGTGCAGGAACCCAGTTACTTCTTTTGGGGCTGATTAATGGTCCGGCTTGATCAAATCCTTAATGTAGGGTGACCGCAAGCCAGCTAGGGCCCTTCACGACAGTCAATGGCCAACCATGATCTCTTCACGTGGGTCCAACCTAGAGTATCTTTACGTCTTTAGACTGATGGTTATAGCCCAGCTTCCTCAAATCCTCAAATGTTGCTTACCTAAGGCCCTTCACGACTGTAAACAGCCTAAGGTACTTCACGACTGTCTATGGCCGATAAAGATCACGTTTGTGACCAACCTACGGTACCTTCACGTCTTTGGACTGATGGCTATGGCCCAGCTTCATCAAACCCTCAAATGTTGCTTACCTTTATGTCCGTAAACAGCCTACGGTACTTCACGACTCTATAGTTCTCTCTATGGTCAACCATTATCCTTTCACGTGTGCCCAACCTAGAGTATCTTCACGTCTTGGAGCTGACGCTATGACCCAGCTTCATCAAACCCTCAAATGTTGCTTACCTTTATGTCCGTAAACAGCCTACGGTACTTCACGACTCTATAGTCACTCTATAGTTCACTCTATGGTCAACCATGATTCCTTCACGTGGGTCCAACCTAGAGTATCTTCACGTCTTGGAGCTGACGCTATGGCCCAGCTTCATCAAACCCTCAAATGTTGCCAACCTAAGGCCCTTCACGACCGTAAACAGCCTACGGTACTTCACGACTGTCTATGGTCAACCATGATCCCTTCACATATGACCAGCCTAGAGTATTTAGACTGATGGCTATGTGGCCCAGCCTATGTCCGTGAGAACATGGAGAATCAGGCTGCCAACGAGGATACAATTCCCCGATGCCCTAGTCACAAAAACACGAACATTAACCCTCCAGACTCCTGATCTAAGAAGAAGGAGGGTAATTGAGCTCAATGGCAAAAACTCCAAATTGATTCCTGGAAGGACGCGTGCTTGGTGCTCCGCCAACTTCCTACCAATGAATAGTTACATATTGGCTTATGCAAATAATTTATATAAAACCTGAAACATTTCGTTCAATTTAGCCGAATTTACCCTATACGGACAGGCTGCTCCGGGAAGAGAAAAATTCGTGAGAATTTCCTATACTCAAAATACTATTTTTAAACTTACTTTTAGCGCCAGTTCGAAAAAAAAAAGTTTCCTGAATTGCACTTAATTTTTATATTTTGAAACCTAAGTGTACCAATGCGCGCTACAGAAATAGAACAATTTTTCACGTGTGTGTGTATATAATTTTCGTTTAGTGCTTTTATGATACAACTGGTACCTAAATTTAATTGAGCAAATGTTTTTTTTTAAAGAATTATGTTTTTAAGCTAAGAAGACAAAAATTGAAAACATGTGCAAAATTATCTTGCAGTTTATTTAAAACCTTTTACAATAATTTGATATCTCTTCCTCATTTGTTCAGTGTTTCTGCTATTAAAATAAATCCTTATTTATAAACTACAGAGACTTTTTTTTTTTTTTTGCTTATCCCTAGTACACGTGGTACAGGCCATGATAATCATGGTGGGTAGTTAGCGACTGCTTTTACTGTAAGTGCACCACATGTCTACACATGTGAAAAGCAGTTCGACTTTGCACTTACTAATGCCAGAGCCCCGTTTGGTTACTTGCACTCGCTGGTGGGGTTGGACTTTTGCAAGAAACGGGGGACATTGGAGCTTTTTTTTTCTTTAAACAGAAAAAAGTGTTCAATGCGGGAATCGAACCCGGGTCCTAGTGGTCGAAAACCAAACGGTTTAACCACTCTTCCACTACAGAGACTAAATTTTATAAATAATTCAAGATGTGGATATTTACATTGAGTTAGAAGTGCTCTGGCTCATCACCATAGAACACTTTCTTTTATTTCTCATTTAGAAAAAAGGAATCTTCTTATTATGCAACTTCTGGGTTTCGCCATCTGTCGGTATATATGTAAACTAATCGTTGATTATGTCCTTTATATATTGATTGTATCCTTTCTTGGTGAATCATACATACGTACGCGTGTCGGGCTGTTGGGCCTCGTCAGCGTGGCGTACCTCAACGACCAAATATCTTCCCTATAAGCTTTCTGAAAAAAATCTAGATGAATAAAAAAAAAAAGGTATTTGGGTTATATTCTGTAATTTACAAAAAATTATATAACTATTGATATTTATTCCGACAGATGGCGCAAACCATCAGGAACTATCAATCGCACGATTGGAAGCTGTCTTATCTCTAATTGTAACCACCAATTTCACCTTTGTTCTAATTTTCTGATTTATTTCCCGGTTTGACCACGATTCCATCAGAAGTACATAAAGTTTAATTCTACAAGTTGTGTTGCATACAAACAGATCGGCATATAATTAGAGAACCACAGTAAATACAACTTTTATCTTAATTTATTCATGTTAAACAAACTTCTGAGGAAAGTTTTTCCAAAAGACTTAAGTCAGTGATAAATAGCACAACCTGGTCAAAACTGTTTAAAATATTTAAAGTCAATGGAAGAAAGCCAGACGATCCGAGTAAATAACCCGAGGTTGTTTTAAAAGTATAATTCCAACATTTGCATGTGTTCTTGCTGAATTATCACCCAGAACTCCGACAAGATTTTCTACAAAAGGATTCGAGGAGAACATTGAATTTGCATAAATATTGGAGCGATGGCGGGGAAACTTCCAGACTTAACGGGATCTAATTGAAGAGGGTTTTGGATCCGGATGTTTTTGGAACCTGGGTTGGAGTCTTCAGAAGCGCATCCCTTTTTAAAATAACTTAAAAAATACATGTTGTATATAGGTGAGCTAATCCTGCTAGGTGAATAGGCCGTTCTTCCAGTTTTAGCAAACTGCAGAATCCAACAAGGGTTCATTTAAAGTGCTGTCGAATTTAGGAAGTTTTTCACTTTCTGGAGGCAGTTTGGAGACAGTGAATTTGAATTTTCTTACCATCCAAGGTTCATCTATCTTTTGGAGTATTGATTTAATTAGTAAAGCATTTGTTATGAAAAGTTGGTCTCCTCTTTTGGATGTGAATGGATGCAGTTAGTGGATCATTCGAAGAGTGTTGAATCCTGCACGTGATATAGTTAACTTTTAAATATCTAATAAACATTTTTTTATTTTAACGACATTTGAGAATTATCCCGCATATGTTTCTTTTGAACAAAAAATCGAAATTTATTTTTAAGGAGAAATAACGGTTATTTCTAACATTTGAGATGAGGTATGAAAGGATGAATTGTGAATAGTAATGATAAACGGAAAAATAAAAGTGTCCAGGGATGAGAATCGAACCCACAGTGTTCCACTTACCGGGCAGATGCCATGTCCACTAGGCTACCCTGGACATATTTTTTCCGTTCGTAAATATTATATAAGGTAATTTATAATACAATATGATGCGGCTTATGATTGTATTTTTATTTTAACTGTGCGAGGTTCTTCGCCAAGACGTAGAGCTCCGTTCACCGAGTACAAGGAGCTACACATCGTACAGTCGAACTATGTACAGCTTGGGTAACATAGTCTCTAAGCTCTTGTGGGAAATTCAGAAGTTAGAAGGTCTTCACACGACACCCAGTATTCGGTCGTATGGTCTTGGTCATAAACTGTGCTACATTTCATTCATTAATTCGGCCATACATATGCAGTATGACTCCAGAACAAAATGCAGACCGCTGGCAAAGACATGAAACATGTGAACAGTACTACATGTCATTTTTGAACTCCACACTTGTGCAGGAATGGCTTTACGACATCCAGAACGCTGGAAAGGACATGTGACCTGTACTCTATGTCATTCATTAATTCGGCCATACATATGCAGTATGATTTCAGAACGACATCCAGAACGCTGGAAAAGACATGGAACATGTGAACAGTACTACATTGTCATTCTTGAATTCCACACTTGTGCAGGACTGGCTTTACGACATCCAGAACGCTGGCAAAGACATGAAACATGTGAACAGTGCTACATGTCATTGTTGAATTCCACACTTGTGCAGGACTGGTTTTACGACATCCAGAACGCTGGCAAAGACATGAAACATGTGAACAGTGCTACATGTCATTGTTGAATTCCACAGTTGTGCAGGACTGGCTTTACGACATCCAGAACGCTGGCAAAGAGGTCAACCTCACCCACGCGCCGCTCGCCTACAAACCGCAGGTTATTTGCATTTGTGAAGAGGAGGCAATAACTGTAACCTCTTTGTTGTTTTATAAACAGTGAAAATATTTGCTTTTCTTTCAAATATATATTTTCCCAAGACCTATATACATTTGTAGATGGTGAAATTCGGAAACTGGAAGTGCAAACATACACACACTACACACACATATTGCACATGTGAGTATACCGAGAAACAACTCCACCAATCACCGGCATGTGAGTATACCGAGAAACAACTCCTCCAATCACCGACGACACATGTGAGTATACCGAGAAACAACTCCGCCAATCACCGACATGTGAGTATATCGAGAAACAACTCCACCAATCACCGACATGTGAGTATACCGAGAAACAACTCCACCAATCACCGACATGTGAGTATACCGAGAAACAACTCCACCAATCACCGACATGTGAGTATACCGAGAAACAACTCCACCAATCACCGACATGTGAGTATACCGAGAAACAACTCCACCAATCACCGACATGTGAGTATACCGAGAAACAACTCCGCCAATCACCGACATGTGAGTATACCGAGAAACAACTCCACCAATCACCGACATGTGAGTATACCGAGAAACAACTCCGCCAATCACCGACATGTGAGTATACCGAGAAACAACTCCGCCAATCACCGACATGTGAGTATACCGAGAAACAACTCCGCCAATCACCGACATGTGAGTATACCGAGAAACAACTCCGCCAATCACCGACATGTGAGTATACCGAGAAACAACTCCGCCAATCACCGACATGTGAGTATACCGAGAAACAACTCCACCAATCACCGACATGTGAGTATACCGAGAAACAACTCCACCAATCACCGACATGTGAGTATACCGAGAAACAACTCCACCAATCACCGACATGTGAGTATACCGAGAAACAACTCCACCAATCACCGACATGTGAGTATACCGAGAAACAACTCCACCAACATGTGAGTATACCGAGAAACAACTCCACCAATCACCGACATGTGAGTATACCGAGAAACAACTCCGTCAATCACCGACGACACATGTGAGTATACCGAGAAACAACTCCGCCAATCACCGACGACACATGTGAGTATACCGAGAAACAACTCCACCAATCACCGACGACACATGTGAGTATACCGAGAAACAACTCCACCAATCACCGACATGTGAGTATACCGAGAAACAACTCCACCAATCACCGACATGTGAGTATACCGAGAAACAACTCCACCAATCACCGACATGTGAGTATACCGAGAAACAACTCCACCAATCACCGACATGTGAGTATACCGAGAAACAACTCCACCAACATGTGAGTATACCGAGAAACAACTCCACCAATCACTGAAGACACATGTGAGTATACCGAGAAACAACTCCACCAATCACCGACATGTGAGTATACCGAGAAACAACTCCGTCAATCACCGACATGTGAGTATACCGAGAAACAACTCCGCCAATCACTGAAGACACATGTGAGTATACCGAGAAACAACTCCGCCAATCACTGAAGACACATGTGAGTATACCGAGAAACAACTCCGCCAATCACTGAAGACACATGTGAGTATACCGAGAAACAACTCCGCCAATCACTGAAGACACATGTGAGTATACCGAGAAACAACTCCACCAATCACCGACATGTGAGTATACCGAGAAACAACTCCGTCAATCACCGACATGTGAGTATACCGAGAAACAACTCCACCAATCACCGACGACACATGTGAGTATACCGAGAAACAACTCTACCAATCACCGACATGTGAGTATACCGAGAAACAACTCCGCCAATCACCGACGACACATGTGAGTATACCGAGAAACAACTCCACCAATCACCGGCATGTGAGTATACCGAGAAACAACTCCGCCAATCACCGACGACACATGTGAGTATACCGAGAAACAACTCCGCCAATCACCGACGACACATGTGAGTATACCGAGAAACAACTCCACCAATCACCGACGACACATGTGAGTATACCGAGAAACAACTCCACCAATCACCGACAAGTGAGTATACCGAGAAACAACTCCACCAATCACCGACATGTGAGTATACCGAGAAACAACTCCACCAATCACCGGCATGTGAGTATACCGAGAAACAACTCCGCCAATCACCGACGACACATGTGAGTATACCGAGAAACAACTCCGCCAATCACCGACAAGTGAGTATACCGAGAAACAACTCCACCAATCACCGACGACACATGTGAGTATACCGAGAAACAACTCCGCCAATCACCGACAAGTGAGTATACCGAGAAACAACTCCACCAATCACCGACAAGTGAGTATACCGAGAAACAACTCCACCAATCACCGACGACACATGTGAGTATACCGAGAAACAACTCCACCAATCACTGAAGACACATGTGAGTATACCGAGAAACAACTCCGCCAATCACTGAAGACACATGTGAGTATACCGAGAAACAACTCCACCAATCACCGACATGTGAGTATACCGAGAAACAACTCCACCAATCACCGACATGTGAGTATACCGAGAAACAACTCCACCAATCACCGACGACACATGTGAGTATACCGAGAAACAACTCCACCAATCACCGACATGTGAGTATACCGAGAAA